GGCCCAAATCAGAAAATCCATGTCTGGGCCGTCACTGGGCCTGTTGTAGCCCAAATCAGGTAGAACCATGTCTGGGCCATCACTGGGCCTGTTATGGCCCAAATCAGAAAATCCATGTCTGGGCCGTCACTGGGCCTGTTGTAGCCCAAATCAGGTAGAACCATGTCTGGGCCGTCACTGGGCCTGTTATGGCCCAAATCAGGAAGAACCATGTCTGGGCCGTCACTGGGCCTGTTATGGCCCAAATCAGGAAGAACCATGTCTGGGCCGTCACTGGGCCTGTTATGGCCCAAATCAGAAAATCCAGGTCTGGGCCGTCACAGGGCCGTCATTCTTTGCGGTATCTGGGCCAAAGGAAAGTGAATAGTGTGGGCCAGATCTGGCCCAAAAGAATTTTGCTATCTGGGTTGTGTAGATCGTCAGATTCAGTCTTTATTGCAACAGCGAGGTTACAGCCAATGCTGGACCCCTTGCAGGACTGTGTCCCATTGCAAATTACACTGATTTTTATACCCTTTTCATATCTCTTATCAGGATATTCATCACAGGGGTTTTCCAAGCATAATTTTTCTGGATCATTTGCTATCATTGTGCCCCCCTTTCCAGGGCTCAGATATTCCTCGCACCTCTGTGATAAGGCTGCCAATTATTTATTTTATTATCTAGTCATTTTGAAAAACGTGACCGGACGGCAATATTGTTACTCTATATAGTTTTGGTGAAGAGCCCAGAACTACAGAGGTAAAGCAAAACTTTCCAGTTTTCACTGATAAAAAGTTTTGGCCATTTCAGATGGTCCTGAGATGATTAACCACAGAAAGGAACATTCTGCACCTTCAAAGTGGTGATAAGCTGCACTAATTAAGTGTATATTCATAACTGACACTTTATTGATCCCCATGGGGAAATAGTTCTTAATGCCTCCCTCAACATGCTCTTTGTAGAGTAAGCTGTTGGTGATGGGCAGCCAGCCATAGCAGCCCTCAGGAAGCTGGGGGGGGGGGGGTAAGGGCCTTGCTCAAGGAGCCACAGATATACTGAGGCTGGGTTTGAACCAGCAACATTGTGATTACAGGCACTCAGGCTTATCCCACTGAGCCACACACCATATAGATAAAAGGCTAACATAGGATAACTAACAGATACACAAACTTCTAAGCCAACACCAGGTACTAATTCTTACTCTTTTTTTAGTCACATCATGCACAGCAGTAATTGGTCTTGCAAGGTCACTCTCTACACAGTTTACATCAGCTTCTGGCTACATCTTCTTAATAGTGCCCTAATAATTACATTCTCTATGTGTTATGCATTGCTAAACAATATTCCATAATTCCAGTAGTTATTAAGATGGTTTGCAATGCTCAGAAATACTTGACTTAACCTGTACAATACTCACTCTATGCTACATATAACTGTGACAGTTTCCATCAGATTTACAAATTTACTATTAACTCCCATCTGCTTAGAGCCAATTATACTTGCTAACTTATATGAGATTCAGATATGCCGCAAAATCAAACCCAGCTTCTAAATTCTCTGGCCTTCATATCATCTGTGTGACAATAGCTTGTCAGGGAATTGCCCACTGAAAGAACTGACCTCTGGAACACTGTGCCTCAGCAACAGAATGGTACCAGTGTCAAATTTCCCATTTACTCTGTTCAGCTAGTCCCAGTAACTTCTGAGGGAATAATTGCAGACACTTATAGTGATGGTCATACAGTCATTGTCATCGGTGACTGATTCTTTAAATAATCAGCTTCAGGAATATATGAATCTTTGAGCAGTCAAGGTAGTTTTTGAGTAGAACTTCTTGTGTAATAAAATGGGGCTTCTATTATGGAATGGGCAAACCAAGCAGATCAATCAAAACAGAAAACACACACACACACACACACACTAGATTCACTTTCAACCTAAGATGAACATACCCCAAATTTTCTGATAATTTCTGTTGCTAAACTGAATCCATTTCAATGTTTCTTTAATTGTGCTCGATGGCAGTGTGTGACATACTTCAATATATAGCCAAATGTGAATGATATAGGCTTGAGGAAGGGATCTTTGGTGTAGGGATTTTCAGAGACGTTCCTTGACTGTTACAAGATTGTTCTGCCCAATCAGCTCGCATTATGTTTGTATGTGTGTGTGTGTGTGTAGGAGGGGGGTTGTCATATCTGCCTTTAGGCATCCAGGGTATCAAACATTCATCAAGTACAGGCTCTCGACCACATGCAGAATCTAGAAGTTAGGTTTGGTGGTAGCCTACAGTATATCAGGTTTATTTTCAAACGTGTAGCACAAAGGGAAGTTGCTCAAACTTAGACTTCCCAACAGTACGGTGGCCCTGAACGTCAAAACACAACAATATTTCACAAAACACAATGAAATTAAAGAAAACACAACAATTCAAAAAACACACCGACATTACAGAAAACACATTTCAAAAAACACAATGACATTTCAGAAAACACAACATTTCAGAAACACAAAACACAACGACATTTCAAAAAACATGACGACATTACAGAAAACACAACGGAAAGGGTAGGACCACACTTCTTGTTCGTGACTGGACAGTATCCTTGGAGTGACATGGTGAATTTATTTTGTACTTTCTCTGTATACCTCGCGTACAGTAATCATGAGGAATGTAAAAGGGCTAAAAGTGTTTTAAATTTAGCATACCAGTGTGTAACAGGTTAAAAAAAGAGTTGGATTATACGAGCAATGTGGGGACAAAATATCCTTTTTATAAATTAGTGTATAATTAGTGTCTGGTTGTGTTAACTGTGTGAAGTGTTTTGAAAAAAGGGGTTCAGTTTTCAAAATTGTGCCTAAGCAATCGAAAAAAAAGTATAGTAGCTGAAAGGTAAGCCACATAGTTCTGTATCGAAACATCTGCCCAGGTCCACGCAGGTCCGATAAGAGAGCCCTTCTGATGTCAGTTTCTGAGGAGTAGCTGCTCCATCTTTTCAGTCCGAATTCTCTAAGGCGTGTTTTCAGGGTGCTTAAGGAAATGTTAATGTTATGGTACGGAGTAAGCAAATTGATAATCTTATTGTATGATTGCCCTCAATCAAAATATTCCCATACTGTGTCCTCATCCATCCTTTCAAAAGCGAATTTGTGCAATAATAATAATACGAGGAACAAGAAATGAACTGTCGTGAGTGACATGGGTACTGTCCAATCGCAATCAGGAAAAGGGTAGGACCATACTTCTTGTTTGTGATTGGACAGTACCCATGTCACTCCAAGGGTACTGTCCAGTCACGAACAAGAAGTGTGGTCCTACCCTTTCCGTTTTCTGAAATGTCGTTGTGTTTTCTGTAATGTCGTCGTGTTTTTTGAAATGTTGTTGTGTTTTGTGTTTCTGAAATGTTGTGTTTTCTGAAATGTCATTGTGTTTTTTGAAATGTGTTTTCTGTAATGTCGGTGTGTTTTTTGAAATGTTGTGTTTTTGAAATGTCGTTGTGTGTTCTGAAATGTCGCGTTTTTTAAAATGTTTTTTCTGAAATGTCGTTGTGTTTTGACCTTCAGGGCCACCATATGGAGCATTTCTCACACTTTGACAGATCCTTTAGCTTTCAAACCTTGAAATCTTTTTGTAGTTAGTTTTTGGCAAGACTGTCCTCCATACAACCCTGATCTTATCTATTTTTTGGTATTTGCAATCTCTGAACTTGGGTCCAAGCCAGGAAAAAATCTGGAGGCTCAATTGAGAGGTCTGTCATGGCCACCAACATAGATTCCTTCAGATAAATTCATTTGTAAGGAAAGTTATCATCCATAAAATCATTTTATTGATTGATAATACTTCACATGAGAGAAATGATTTGATTGTTCTGGATGGGCATGATGGAGGATGAAGGGACAATCCATGTTGCAGCTGGAACAAACCAAGGGACTTTATTTGATTGACATTTATCGGTTTGGAGATACAGGTCATTTGTAATAATAATATTGACAGGAAGAATGTGGAAATGTATCAATTTGTAATTTATGTAAATGTGTTGAATACTTCTGGTAGCCACTATATTTATAGGAGTAGGGAAATCGAGGATACCAGTTTTCCTGTTACGTTATAGGGTTTCAATTTCATTATAAATTGTTTTCACAGTAAAGCTCACGGTAGTCTGGCATATTCAGGGAATGGGGTAGTTGCATTGTTTGGTCTTAGAGCTGTTTGGTCTTCTCGCCTTTCTCCTTGATGCTGCCTTGCTCTCTTCATACTGCTATCTGACATTCTTGGTTCTGTTGCCTTGGATAATATCCCCAGGTCTAGTTGTGGTAGAACCACAGACTTGGTCATGAGTTGCAGTGCCTTCTATAACCACTGCCATGTCCGCACTAATACACCTGGAAAAGAGTTATCACATGAAAAGAAACACCTTCAATTCCTGGAACCTGGTCTGTTATTGATTTAATTTGACTTGACACTAGAACAGACCAAAAAGACTTATAAACTAAGCATGTTTCCCATAATAATTCAAATCACTCCCACAGAGTTTAATTAGATCAGGTGTAGTTCTTTGCCTATATCCATGCGTACCCTTGGTCAATTGCATTACTGGGAACAAAAGTCCATGCAGTGGATTATAAAATTGCCTGTAATGTCATGAACACTGCAATTACCTTACATGCCAATAAAAAAATGATAGGTACTGAAATACACTGTAATTTAAGGATTTGGACTGAATTGGGCAACCTGGGGTCCACAAGGTATAATTCTACAACTGGATTTGCACCTGAGAAGGTAGGTGTACTGACTTGCTGAAAACATAGACTCACTTTGAGTGGGACCGGCAGAACCTGTTACGGGATGGGGTGCCGGAGAAGGTGCCAGGTGGGCATGGTAAGCACCTTCTGCAGGTATACTGTGCAGGACTTGCACAGAAGAAGCCTGCATCACAGTGGCACTCACGATTGGAGCTGTTTGTACAGGCTTTCACCTGCTTCAGGTGACGCTGACCTGTTTATGGACAAGACAGTTTAGAGAACAAACACCAAGCAAGATACTGTCACCCACAACTTAAAAATAAAATACTGCACTATAAGTTAAGCAGAAGTGTTTCTTTCTGTCTGAAAATATTATATCTTAGTTTATATGAAAAATGTTTAGTAACCAAGCACTTTATTAGTAGCAGTATAGTAATACTGGGTTTAGCCTCAATTTTTTGCTCATGGGAGTTTTACACAAAAATGTTCTGAGGGCAGAACAAAAAATGATTTTCAGATGAGGTTCAGAGAGATAACCAATCAGATTATAGAGGAGGTGGGTCCATGCAACTAGAGGAGGTGGGACCAAACAATCAGATGTCTTGCCATGGTCAAAATCACTGAGATCACATTTCCCCCCCTTCTGGTGTTTGATATGAACACCTCTATCTGCATGATTTTATGCATCGCACTGCTGTAATATGATTGGCTGGTGAGATACTTGAATGAATAAGTACATGTGATCCTTATAAGTAAGTGCAAGGGCCAGTGCAGGGGAGGACATATGTTCATTTTTTGGTGTGAGGGTTCATTTTATGTAAGAGCTTTATTTTTAAATAAAGCTGAAACTCCACATGTCATCCTCATTGCCCAGGGGCACTGAAAAAGGGGGGGGGGGTAGGAAGATTCCCTAAGAAATCTGGAAAATAACTGGAGGCATAATATGGGGCCCAAAATCTCTAATGGCACTCCTGACAGTCACACTGTTTTCCTTCATTCTGACAAGCTGATCAGAAGGGGGCCCTCTGGTGGCCACTGGGCCCAAAGCACCCCTGGATATTATGGGCCCAAGCTGCTGGATTCCTTTAGTTTTTAGTATGTATTTGGAGAAAGTACTAGCGGTCTTAGTCAGAGATTTTCAGCGTTTTCACCTGAGCAGACCTCTGTACAGCGCTCACACTGAGCCCTGCCTTGCTTCATCAGCCAGTACGTCTTCGGTGGACATGGGACACACTTCTCTTGCCGATATACAAGCCCTGTTAAGTCATAACAAAATGATCAAGCTCAGGCAGGGGCAACTATGTTCTGTGGGGAGTCGAATCCAAGCTCCACCACATCAGCAGGGGCCATCATTTAATGAAAGAAGTTACATTTCACTTTTCATTGTTACTTTGAAAATACATGCAAAACTGAATAGAACCCATGCAGGTTTCATGTTTAATTCAAGTTATATATTTATCATTCATTCATAAAGAAATCTCTTCATGTTTACAGCATTGAACATAAAACTTAAGGTCTGTTCTTACCTGATGTACATGTTGTGCTTTTCAGAGAGCAGGGGTACACAGCTAAATGTGCCTGAAAACAGGGGGTGGGGGATTTTTCAATGTTTTCTAGGACCCATAAATATATCACAAAAATAAAACCTGATCATAAGGGAGGTTTATGCAGAAAATGCTGATCAAGTTCGCAAAGACCTTGTTGACGGCACTAAACTATAAGCACTCTAGGTGAACATGGATTAGGAAATTGTAAAATAACATTTTTGTAAAGATGAAGCACTTCAGTTTACACACAATAAAGAATGTGCGAGTGAAGTCAATGACGATACAAATGAGAAACGTGACCCTGGATAACATTTCCTCCACAGAAATGCTTTTGGCGGTTTGAGGATAAAATGACTGAAGTGCGGCATCATGTGGGAGTGCTAGTGTAATGCAGTTTAACTGTAAAATTCATTATTTATAATTTACAACAGGAAGGGTTTGCAGGAAATGGGGTGTTTACTCATAAAATTGTAGGCCGATTTGTATAGATTATAACTGTAGTTGTAAATTTGGAAATGTATTTTAACAATTAGACTAGTGCCTTATAACATAATTTGCCTTTCTAAATCGCGACCCAGCAAATCAGCTATTTATTATTTTAAGCACTACAAAGGTATAGGACAGTTTAAGGATGCACTGAATTCAATGCTAGTATCGGTATTGGCTCCGACCGTGCATATGTCCTCCTGACAATGTGCGATGCCTATAATAGAGAGCACGCAATCATGTATCAATTATTTCATTAACTAGCAAAATAAATGGGGCAAAATAGCCGGGGGTGAGGAAATAGTCTACTTCAAAAGTAACAACGAAATCCAACGCATAACGGTCACTCGACTAAACTATCGAGAGAGGGCATGAAACCAGGTGCATACAAAGCTGTTAATTGAATTAAACATCTAAAAACTATATCTAAACATTAGAAAGAGTATGGAGAAATTACCACCAGCGGCAACACTTTGCAATAACCCAACGTGCCGTAAACACAGGCACAGAAAGAGGAAAATGTCAAACCAACTGAATGCAGTGAAAATAACAGAAGCTCTCACCAGTATTCATCAGGCACAATGCAGTAATGGAGGCAGGTGAACAGCATAATACTTTCTCAGGTGGTATGCACTATAAAAATTTGGAGAACTAGTATTTTGTTTTCTTCAGGCTTTCACTTTTTTTTTGACAAAAGATGCCTCACGTGCTGAGGTGGGGGGAATTTCAGTTTTATCATTTACCTCAACATTTTTACGTTAAAATGTCGCAAAGTATTTTTTTAGACATTGCACAGCCCTGATTGGTGATTATCAGAAAACGAACATCGGTACTCATACTCTGAAGAATATGGTATCAGTGTATCCCCAGGTCGGTTGATCTATAAAAGTTTATCTAAACACAGCAGCTGTAAATTCAATATGGTGTTCCTTATGTGAATATTTAATAGTATATTTAGAAAACTTAGAGTTTTTCTGCGAACAGTTTCATGTAAGTAGCCATATGAAATGATCAAAGGTAAATGTTTGTTTAATGCACATGCCTACTGCAAGGATAAATACTTCAATGCAGTGCTTATTCCATAAACTATGTCTATATTAGGGAACCGGGAAGCCGTGCCAAGTGGGTCAGAAACCAGGGAAGTCAGCCCTACAAAGTGACACGAGACAGGGGACGGGAACGGGCGAGCAGGGACATGTCAGACAGGTTGAGCAGGAACAGGCAGGGCAGGATCAGGCAGGGCAGGAACAGGCAGGCTTTTCTGACAGAACTAAATGGAGCTGTCCATTGAAAAAAGGGCTGAAAGCATGTCTCAAAGCAAGCCAAGAGCACCATCTAGTGAGGCCAAAAAATACAGCAAATGGTTCATGAGGCGTAATTTGGCCAACGCTACTGATTTATGTGTATGGCATTGTGGTCCTTATGAACTCCAGCACCTCAGAGTTTATGAAATAAGCACTGCATTGAAGTATTTATCCTTGCAGTAGGCATGTGCATTAAACAAACATTTACCTTTGATCATTTCATATGGCTATTTACATGAAACTGTTCGCAGAATAACTCTAAATTTTCTAAATACAGTGGTACCTCAGTTCTCGAACTCATTAGAACTCGAATTTCTTAAAAGTCGAACCAACCAGTGCGAAAAAAAATTACCTAGAGCTCGATCTGAATCTCAGAAGTCAAACCTACCTAAGATAACTTGTATGCGCCGGGAAACGAGTCACGCAGCACGTCTCTCAGCGAAAAGAAAGGGTAACGCTTCAGTCTCAGCCTCGCATTCGCTAGCATCTTGCATGATTACACTAGCTGAATACATATGTTTAGACAGTAAAAATACATTTAGACAATGATAGACAGTAACAGTAATTATCATTATATAATAAAATACATTTAAAAATAAAAAATTCTTATTAATTATTTTAATATTAATAATAAACCATTAATACGTTTAATTATAATAATATTGTCGTGCGGAGCAGGGACGGAACGGAGACAAAGGCACACGTCAGGGTATCGGGGAATACGGGGTTTAATTACAGGTAAGGCAGGCAAAACGCAGAGGGACAATACAATGACCGGACTGGGGAAACAAACTGAAATGCGGACGAAATACAGAGGGCTAATGAAAACAACCAGAAACAGCTGATCAAACGGAGATTCCACATGGGGTTAATGAGGGGGCGTGGCACACGGAAGGAGTGGACGATCGGGGCAGGACACATTGTTTGGATACATTAATTTTCTTACTTTACAAATTACTGTTTTGATAAATGTGCTTAGTTGTGTTTAGTACAGTATATGCTCTTCTTATTTTATCAGGTTCATTTTGTGTTTAAATGCTAAAAAAAACATATTTAGGTGTATTTTTTGGGGCCGGGAACCAATTAATTGGTTTTCCATTATTTCTTATGGGGAAAATTCGATCACAACTCGAACTTTTTAGGATTCGATTCGGAGTTCTGAACGGATTAAATTCGAGTTCTGTGGTACCACTGTATACTATTATACTCACATAAGGAACACTATATTGAATTTACAGCTGCTGTGTTTAGATCAACTTTTATAGATCAACTGACCTGGGTATGAGTAGCAATGTTCGTTTTCTGGTAATCATCAATTAGGGCTGTGCAATGTCTAAAAAAATACTATGCGACATTTTAACATAAAAATGTTGAGATAAATGATAAACCTGAAATTCCCCCCATCTCAGCACCAAACGGGGAGGTGCATCTTTTGTCAAAAAAATCTCGCAGTTTCCTGCAGCTGGGTCCTCCGTGTCCTCTGTTCTCTTTTCGTGACGTTCATTTATATTGGTGGCCAAAAATTGGATTTTTCTATGCGCATGTTCTGGTTTATCCCTTTCAGATGAAATGTCAGGTAAGTGAAATACATTAATTTATACGCATGCATGTCAAAAAAATCATACAACACAAATGTATCTTTGCTTGCAGATCTAGTTTATAATGTGTTTTTGTTTTGTCGGTTGCTGTACTGGATAAGAACGTTAGTTAAAACTGTTAAACATCTAATGAACAAGGTGTTACCTCGAGCCTATAAATGTAGGATCTGGTGAACGTCGGAGGAAAGTCGATGAACGTCGAAGACAACATCAGATTTGCCGTCAGGTAGGCCTAAGTTTAGCCGGTGTACAAATACATGTATTTGCATGTTATGGAATATTTTAGGACCATAAGTTGAATTGATAGTCAAAAATTACGTATACAAGGTTGCCAGCTTTGTCTGCCAGTTGTGGAAAGTGCATGAGATTTTCAATTTGATACAAGTCTGCACACGCATTTATATATAAGTAAGAGTTTTATTACCTTTTAAATAGTCTTTTGAACTCCACCATGGACGATCCCAGTCAAAAAATACTAACTGCCAACAAGAGATTAAGACTCTTAAGTATTGGGAAGAGATCGGTCTTCATCAAGAAGAAGTATGACACCTTGTGGTGAAAGCCGGAAATCAGAAGCTACAACGCTGGTTACCCTTCTCTCCGCCAGAGAAGTCAACATCGGAACATGGAACACGTGAACCATGCATGAAACAGGAAAGACAGCACAAGTGGGAGCAGAAATGAGAAACTACAACCTTGTCCTGCTGAAGGTAAGCTGTGATAACAAAGACATTTTTGGGCTCATGAAGCACTAACATAAGCAGTGACTGTAAACAGAAACAATGAGGAAAATAAAAGACAGGAAGGAAACGAAAACAGCCGTCAACAACAGTAAAACATGAGCTGGAAGAGCAAAAGCCCTACAGGAGTACACAGAAGCCAATAAGAATGTGAAGAAAAGCATCAGAGCAGATAAAAGTAGCTAAACTGACAGCCTGGCAACAGAAGCAGAAGAAGTAGCAAGAAATGGAATTATGAAGGTACTCCATTATGAAGAAACTGTCAGGAAAATTTAGCAAGCCAGACAGACCAGTCAAAGACAAGGTGGAAAATCACTGATGGGAGAGGAACAACAGCAGAACAGATGGAAGGAACATTTTGAAGAGTTGTTAAATAAACCAGTGCCACCAAACCCACCTAATACATAATCAGCAGCAGAGGACCTACCTATAGACTAGAACGCCAACCAGAGAAGAGATCCAAAAAGCGAAAGGACAGCTGAAGAATGGCAAGGTAGCAGGCCCAGACAATATACCAGCAGAAGCCCTGAAGATGGACAGGGATACCGTGGTGGAGATGCTCTTCCAATTGTTTGAAAAGATCTGGGAGTAGGAGTAGGTGCCATCAGAATGGGAGGAAGGATATTCATCAAGTTACCAAAGAAAGGCGACCTCAGCAACAGTGCAAACTACAGAAGAATTACGCTCCTGTCCATACCAGGGAAAGTGTTCAACAGGATAATCCTGAACCAAATGAAGGACCAAGTAGATGCCCAACTAAGAGTTCAGCAGGCAGGCGTCTGAAAAGACATATCCTATACAGACCAGATTGCTACCCTACCAGATGTCAAGTCACAAATAGGCAAAGCAAGGGCAGAATTCCTCCACCTGAAGAACATCTGGAACTTTAAGGAACTGACTCTA